GAAAGAGGGGTTGAGGCCGCTGATGGGTAGGGAGATGGAAGCGTGTTGGAGGTCTGGCAGGGAATCAGGGAGCCCCAGGGTTTGGGGGTGTGAAGAGTGTGGGGAACTTGCAGGAGTGTGTGGGGCTCTGGACAAGCAGGTTGGGAGAAGCCTAGGAGGGAGAGGCAGAAGAAGACTGCGGTGCTGTGTGCGGAAGCAGAGGTCTGTGGCTGGTGGGAGCTATGGGCTGAAGGTGGCACAGCGGGGCTAACACTGACCTCCGGGCGGTGTGGTATCTAAATGAGCCGACACATGGAAGTGCCCCACCCACCAATTGCAAGTGCTTTCTACAAGGACCGTGGAATTTCAGCATGGTGTGATGTGAAACCTCTTTTGGGGGAGCAGGTCACTCCATTGACCTAGAAGTAATGGCTGGCATTTCACTCCTTTCTTATTTCCCTGTCTCCTCCTCCAGGGTCACGGCTAGAGGACTCCCTGAGGTCCTGTCCCCTGGGCCACTGTGACTGGGTTTGCACTGGAGTGGAAGGCGCTGAAAGGCAGACCGGCTGCTATGTCCACATTCAGGCAGGAAGATGTGGAAGACCACTATGAGATGGGGGAGGAGCTGGGCAGGTGAGTTCTCCCCTCTGATGGGGCTCCGACCAGGGGAGAGACCCACTGTGGGGTTTTCTGGGTGTATCGCCTCTCCTGTCCTTTATCCTACTCTCCAAGAAGGGATGAGTCGCTATCATGTGCTGTGGAACGAGTTTGGGCTTTGGAGTCAGCCAGTCTGGGCCTGGAATTCTTGTTCTGACATTCTCTGTGCATTTCCTTTGGGGAGAAACATAACTGAGCACAAATGGCACCTAATATGGTGCTTGGAATTGGCGTGAGAGCAGTAGATGTTGGCAGGTTTTGTTGGTGAGGGTCTGTCCCTCTCTTTAATCCTCTCTTGTGGGAGGGCAGTTGAGTCTCCCCGGCTCTCCTACGTTTCCAGGGAACGCCTCCAGTCTGGGCCTACACCCTTGCCAATGGTTGGCATTCTTGTGGGAAAGAGCTGAGGTTTCCCGATCCAGCCAGCAGCTGGCTTCCTGCTGGGCTGGGCCTTGGAGCGTCCCCTGGGAGTGCCCCCCTCCCCCCTCCCCTCAGACCTGCCAGGCACCATCCTCCCCCCCCCCGCGCCACCCACAGAGCTTCAGACCTTATTTGGTGAGTTTGTTGCTGGCCAGCCCCATGATGTCACCAGAATGGAATGTAAATAACTGAGCCATAACTGAGCTGTTCATCAGGCCTTTGCTGAGAGTGTATGGGGCTCATTTAGGATTCTGAAGTCCCTCCTTTAGGAATTTCCTCCAGTAGAGTGGTAGAGAATGCAGGCCGTCTCCCCACCCCCAAAAAAGTCTCAGACTCCGTTGTTGAAAATGTATTAGGACCTGCTGCTGAGAGTAGTTTGGCAAAAGTCAGCAAAAATACATGTATGTTCCCTTTAACCTACTGATTCTGCTGCTAGGAGTTAATTCCGTGGAAGTAGTACGTACATACACCTAAGGATCTAGGGACAGGGAGAGTTGCTATAAGGACTTTCTGTGAGCAGAAGATGGGAAGCCTCTTCAGTGCCCGTCACAGCATCGTAGCCTCATTGATGGAATATTACGCAGCCATTAAAAAGAGCCTGAAAAGAAACAAAACTGAGTTATCTGTAATGAGGTGGGTGGACCTAGAGTCTGTCATAGAGTGAAGTAAGTCAGAAAGAGAAAAACAAATGCCGTATGCTAACACAGATATATGGAATCTAAAAAAAAAAAATGGTTCTGAAGAACCTAGGGGCAGGACAGGAATAAAGATGCAGACATAGAGAATGGACTTAAGGACACGGGGAGGGGGAAGGGGAAGCTGGGACAAAGTGAGAGAGTAGCATGGACTTATATATACTACTGAATGTAAAATAGATAGCTAGTGGGAAGCAGCCGCATAGCACAGGGAGATCAGCTTGGTGCTTTGTGACCACCTAGAACGGTGGGATAGGGAGGCTGGGAGGGAGACGCAAGAGGGAGGGGATATGGGGATATGTGTATATGTATAGCTGATTCACTTTATTATACAGTAGAAACTAACACACCACTGTAAAGCAATTATACTCCAATGAAAATGTTAAAAAAAAAGAAGAGCTCAGCAACTTGTATAACGCAAGCCTTGTAGGGAGTTTATTGAAATTTTCTAGTAGCTGTGTCAATTTTAATAATTTTTTTTATAATTAACCTTTTTTTTTTTTTTTTTTTTTTTTTGGTG